ATAGAACATTTTTCATAATATATTTGTTGTTTAAATGTTTTCTCTTGCACTGGAGGTATATTTTTAAAAAGAAATTAATTAAATTATTCTGTTCTAGGTCTTTTCAGTGGCAACAATCAATGGAAATGGTACTTAGAATAGTTTCAACTTCTGTAAAAATTTTTAATAGACATTTTTCGCAAGATTGTTTCATTACATCAACTTTATTAAAACGTAGTGCAATATAACATTGAAACACAGGCAATTAGTATCATTAATATTTACTAGGTGTAAATACAAGCCACCTTAAAAATTGTTGCTTAAATAAAAAAATCAGTTAGACTGCTTTATTAAACATGTAATACCCTACAAATTTTTCCTTTACACATTTTTCCTAAAATCAATAACAGCGGAACCATAGGTATCCAACGATATAACAAAAAAACGTTTTTTTCGAGATATCTAGTTAGCCATAACATAATATTTGTTATCGCTCCACGGGGGAGCAACTTCCGTTGATAAGTATATGCGCGTCGTCTCTCATTGAACGTTATTTGAAATTTATGGACGACCTATTGGAACATAGATGGTGCTTATGTAATCATCACCTCCCCTCACATATATATTAGTGAGGCAAGCTATTCTTGATTATAATCATGGAATTTTGAAGTTAGGACATATTCACTTGAAATTGATCATGACATCATCAAAAACTCAAAAATCTTCTACTACGCATGGGAACTGTTTACAAAATGACATAAATATGAGTGAGAAAAGCAAGTGCCAAACACAAGTTATGAAAACTCCCTCCTCAGTTTTAACTAAAGGTTTCCCATTTAAGGTGTTAACACCGAAAAATGAAAAACTATTATCTTCCAATAAATCTTCGGGATTGGGTTTTGGTTTACCAAATTGGTGCGATAAACAAAAGATAGGGAATAAAGAAAATGTGGAAAAGGTTGGAGTAATGCAAACACAAACGAAGGATCACCGAGGGAAAGAAAAGAACACGGAGAGATCATCGTCATCTGGACCAAAGATGATTGGTGATACAGAACGAACAGTTGGTCGCTGTTCAGCTCTGTTGATGGAGGCTTTAGAAATTCCGGGACGATGTGAGGTTGTTTGTGAAGCTTTACAAAACCAATGGGAAAAAGATGAAGAAGTTATCATTGAACCACTTGATACGGGGGTTTATGGATCAATGTCAGCAAGAGTTGTAACAAGGGTAAATAAAAATCAACGGGTTCCGGTGCGCCTGATCAACGTTACCGAGAAACCTAACTAACTAACTAACTAATGTTGAATAAGGGAACAAGTGTTGGAATTATTATGCGCGTAAATAAAATTGATATTGAACACAAAGGAGATGAGAATTCATCAGCTGGGATTTGGGAAGTGGTACCTCAATTTAAAAATTGGTAAAAGTAAATGGTGTAAATAGCACTACTCATAAAAGGGAGAAAATGTATGGTAATTACAGCGAATACGAAGAAAGTATATCGAAAAATATTGTGGATAATTGGGATATTCTTAAAGATAAGGGTAATTCATTTGATGCACCGGGGGATTATAGCTTGGCACATTGTGTGAGTGAAGATTTGAAAATGGGAGCAGGAATCGCTGCTGAATTCAAAGAGAAATTTATGGGAATAAAAGAATTAAATAAACAGAATCCAAAAGTGAGATGTTTTGTATTTAAGACGAGATGGAAGGTATATTTTGTACCTTATTACTAAAAGAAAATATTTTTATAAACCAACTTACGAAGATTTGTTTTATACCTTGGGAAAATTAAGGGAATTTTGTGAGAAAAATAATATTCATAAATTAGCCCTACCAAAGATTGCTTGTGGGTTAGATGGGTTAAAGTGGGACAGAGTTATCAATATGATCAGATGGATATTTAATGGATCAAATATTTGGGTGAGAATTTATCATCTTAATGGATTGGATAGGGATGTGAACCCTTATTCAGTTCGTGTAATAGATACTGGAATTGAAAACGCGGAGCATGACATACAAAAATTATTTGATTTAAATCATTTGAAAGGTGAAGATAAACGGTTATTATTAAAATTGTTAATTGAGTACAAAGATATCTTTTTATTTGGAAATAATAAATTGGGAACTGCTAATGGCGTGAAACATAGAATTATTACAGAGGATTGCCATCCAATTGCAAAATCACCATACCGAGTACCACATAGTCAAACGGAAGCTTTAAATAAAGAAATAAGCAAAATGCTTGACGAAGGAGTGATTGAAGAGTCGCAATCACCTTGGTCAGCACCTGTTGTTATGGTACCGAAAAAGTCTGATAATGGAAAACAAGAAGTTCGAGTATGTATTGACTACCGAGGGTTAAATTCAGTCACTAAAAGGGATTTCCCTCCGTTACCTAACCTGAACGAAACAATAGATAGATTGGGAAGTTCTACCGTATTTACAACACTTGACCTTGCTTCTGGTCTAGGGCACTATCATTGTAAAAAGATGCCATTTGGTCTGGTCAATGCGCCCAGTACCTTTCAACGGTTAATGAATACCAATTTATCGAGAACGAAGTAATTGAACATTTAAACAGGCTGAAAGAAGTGTTTGATAGAATTAGAGAGGCGAATTTGAGATTAAAAAAAAGTAAATGCAAGTTTTTACTATCCGAAACCAAATATTTGGGTCACGTTATTTCAAACGAAGGAATTAAACCAGATGCAGAAAAAATTCAATCTGTAATTAATTATCCTAAACCAAAAATTGTAAAAGATATTCGGGCATTTTTAGGATTAGCAGGATTTTATAGGCGGTTCATTGAAAGTTATTCAGCAATTCAGCTAAACCTTTAACGGCGTTAACAAAAAAGGATCAACCTTTTATTTGGGGAGAAGAACAGCAAAAATCATTTACTTTACTTCAGAAATCCTTGTGTGATAAACCTGTTTTACATTATCCTGATTTCACACAACCTTTTTATCTAACCACGGATGCTTCGGGAATAGCAATAGGAGCTATACTGAATCAAAAAGTTGGAGGACATGAAAAACCTGTGGCATATGCCAGTAGGCAACTACAAAAAATAGAAATGAATTACCCCACTACAGAAAGAGAATGAAACAGAATGAAAGATACCATAGATTGGTAGTACCAACGGTATTAAGAAAAGAAATTATTTATCAATGTCATGATTTGCCGTATGCTGGACATTTTGGAGTCGATAAAACCAAGTCTCAGGTGAAACAAAAGTACTATTGGAAAAATATGGGCGACGATATAAAAAGCTACTGTGACAAATGTTTAGCCTGTAACAAACGGAAAAGTTCGTCACATTTAAAACCAGCTCCATTACAATTATTTACGCCAGCACAGGAACCATTTGAAAGGGTATCAATGGATATCGTAGGACCATTGCCGATCACCTACAATGGAAATAAATATATACTCACGGTTCAAGATTATTTTACGAGATACACCGAAGCGATCCCATTGCAAAATCAGAAGGCTGAGACAGTGGCGAAAGCTTTTGTGGTGCATGTGATTACGCGGCATGGGACTCCAAAGGTATTACTTACCGATCAAGGCACAAATTTCATGTCGAAATTAATGGACGAAGTATGTAAATTACTACAAATCAAAAAGATTCGCACTACTCCATATCATCCACAAACGAATGGCATGATTGAGAGAATGCATCGAGTTTTAAAGGACTTACTATCTCATGTGGTAGATGATAAACAAAAAGATTGGGACGATTGGTTACCATATGTAATGATGGCTTACCGAAACAACATACATTTCTCTACCGGAGAGTCTCCATACTTTTTACTTCACGGACGGGATATGAATCTACCTTGCAAACTTTATACCAAAGCAGATCATTATCGATATGATTATGACGAGAATTACGTATCCGAACTGCTGGAACGATTACATCAATCGTATCAGTTTGTGAAAAGTCATGAGATCAAAGCTAAAAATAAACAATTAGTTCAATTTAATAAAAGGGCTAAAGAGAAAGATTTGGAACTAGGCGACAAAGTATTATTATATAATCCAGGGATCAAAATTGGAGTAAATTTGAAGTTAAGTATACCATGGGTAGTACCATACCGGATAATAGGACAAACAGGTCCAGTAAACTTTAAAATAAAGGAATTTAATGGTTCAAAGGTCGAATTAGTGCATTCGAATCGTATAAAACTCTATAAGAGAGAAGTTGAAGAAAAGAGAAAGAAAGAGTCAGATACTAAAGACCTAGAGAACAACAAATTGAATTTTGATATAGAGGAACCTATGTGGTATGATTTCAAAGTATTTCCGGGGCAAAATGACGAAGACGGAGGGGAAGATCTGTTAGAAGAACAGACAGTTCAAAGTATAGTGGAATACGTTCCAGAAGAAAATATAGAAGATACTAACCTCGAAACGACTGAACTAGGGAATGATACAACGGTTCAAAGAGAAGAAAACACTGGGCATTCATATCGTACCAGAAATAGAGGTGATGTACCAGAATTGCTATGGGTATTACCGAAAAGAATTTAATAATTCTGATGTATACATTTTGTTGGTTGTTTTCATTGATTATTGTTAAAAGGTTATATCTATCTAAACATAGTATTGTTAAAGTTTCGAATATTAATACATAGATATAATACGTTTTCTTGGGATTTATAGATTTATAGGAGTATAATTGTTTGAATACATTAATAAAATATATATTTTCAGGTTCTATTTAACTAGTTGGCTACTGATTTTTACGGGGATGTATATAAAGGGTTTAATTGTATACGATTGTCGGGGACAATCTACCAACATTACAGCAGTGTCGCTTCACGATGTGGCACCCTGTCCATCTCCGCAAACAAACTACACCGAGAAGAAAATAAATGTCCGAGTGATTCAGAAAAATGACTATTCCAAAATAAAAGTAAAAACTTGTCTTATAGAAGTAACACGGGTGATCAGATATTGTGGTATGAATAGTCATTCATACCATAGTTAGTGATGTCCACCAAGGGTTGATGAAAATCATCAGCCCAATTGGACGAGGTGAGTGTCGAAAACTTCATAATACTGGTACTTATACAGGATATTCAGGGAATGTTATTTCTAATATAAAAGTAAATGCCACAACATCTGCATCAATTACCGTTGCTGGGAAGTTATCTATGAACGGAGATTGTGAAGGAACAGTTTATACAGAAAATGGTCAGACATGGTCTAGGGTAGTTGTTACTGCAGCTGTTACATTTATGTTAAAAGAATATTATGCCACTATCGCTTTGGATTCTAATGAAATATCATTGATGGGAGGAGTTACATGTCCATTTGTAGATGGATACTGTATGGATGTTGAAGCAGGTGAAACTATTTGGGATGAAATAGAACAAGGAGCTTGTAAGAAACGGCAATATTCAATTATTTATGAAGGTATTGGAACAGAAGTTTCAGTAAGTAGTCAGGATACAGTTGAAAATTATTTGGTTGTTGAGCAAGACGAATACATCTTTGCATTGAATCTACTAAGGAAGGGTATTGTATGTAACTATGAGGTTTGGGTTACCGAACATCCTCGATTACTAGTAACAAAATCTAAAAATGCTTTTTATCATTTAAATTCTAAAACTCATGACGTCAATAATATAAATCTGTTGACATATGTTAATTCAAAATTTATGTATATTGAAATTTCGTCAAAATTATTGTTTAGAGAGTTACATGTTCAAGCAGTATATCGAAGATGTTTAATAAAGAGAGAAGTATTGAGAAATAGATTGTTGATGGCACCTTTAAATACAAATGCTATTGCCAGTATTTTCAAGACTTCTCTGGGGTATATGGGAAGGGTTTTAGGGGAAGTTTTATACATCATTAAATGTGAACCAAAAATCGCAGAAGTGCGAAGTGACACACTTAACCACGTTACG